CGGATGCATTTCAAGTGATCTATTGTATATCTCTATCATTTTCTAATGGATTTCGTCCCCGTCTTCTACATATAGCTGGTGCCATAGGAATTCCTATTTAACATCAATTTATGTGTACAAGAGAAATTCGTAACCCTCCCCCTCTATCCATTCTGTGGATAATTACAACTTAACAAATGACCCTTTATTTCCTTTTTATTTTTGTTATTATTAGCCTCATTTTCACATCCAGTATTTGTTTGTAACTTTTCGCCTCTTTCCGTTTGTATTCTTCACTATCTAATTATTTACTCACTTCTTATTGCGTAATGGTTTTAATGTTTTGTGATGATTATTTTAAGTCTATTTACCCACGTTTGACCTTATATTTCCAATGCTTAACTATTGATATGACTTTTGTTATCGTGTTTTATCATTCTTATTACTATCAGTACACCTGTCTTCCTACTATCAACTTGTACTTTTACCTATTATGTGTAGAGACTTATTCTGTTTCATTGTGATTATTGACCTAAATCGCCTTGATTGGTTTTACATTTTCGTATAAATATTCATGAATATTAGAATAAAGCCTGATGACGATCTAATTGAAAACAATTGTTCGCTTATATGTGTTGTTCTAATTTTCACCATGGGAATCTTTAATATGTAAATATTTGTATATTTTGAAATTAAAATAAAAGGGACTAATGGACGGTAGCCGAATGTTTATTTAAGGTTTAATATGAACATAATTAAAACTTTCATGAATCGTTTGAATGTGAATTAGTTGTTCTCAATTTTTTTTGTTTTTTTAAAAAAAAGTATCTTGTTCCGCTTAATTATATATATATATATATTGAATCCGTTGAATCAGCAGGCTTTTTCAATGATTTTACATCGGATGTTATTCTGTGAAGAAAATGCTTTTTTTGAAAAGAAAGTGTTTTTAATAATTAAAGACAGATAGTGGCTAGTAGTGGAATGTAGTTTGCTGCGCGTTTCGTCCTAGTTGGGATTCGTCAGCTGGATATATCTGTACCTCAGAGTTCATTCATTCACTCTGGGATTTGAGCCCAGTACCGTTCGTTTCGAATGATATCACGTTATCCACTGAGCTATGAAGTCCTGAAAGCTACCTGATTGTGCAATAGAGTGAAGTTTTCACTTCACTTGGTGTTGTTTGATTTTATCTTCCCACTGATATTTAGGACTGCAATTGATCAGTCTGTTGTTGGTATATGTGCATCCTGTGATGACTGCCCTACGTCACAAGCTTTATGAGCAAAGATGGATAGCGGCTAGCAGTGCAATCCAGGACTTTACTTTGCATAAACATGAAGTTTATGAATTATACAGATTATAATCATTTGAATTGAAGTAGTAAATGAATTGTTTACCATAAGTTACCGGCCATATATTTCGTTTCGTTTAACTGAGAGATTAATTTATGGCATTTCGCCTATGTTGTCCTTTATTATGCATATCACTATCTTAACGCAGCTATAATTTGTAATCTCATCAAAGTATCCACATACTATTGATCTAGTTGAAAATAAGCTACTTATCAATCATAACAGTTTCTTTATGTAAACATTGGAAGAATTAATTGAGTTATGAGAGTAATGTTAAAGTGAGTGTTATTGTTTTAGTTATAAAAATTGAAATCAACGTTCGGTTAAACATTTGGATTATTGATATACTGTTTTAAAAATACTTTCTCTTATATTTACTGATGAGGATTCTTTGTATAGGCTAGGCGTATAGATATTTTTTGTCAGACAATGCTATTCATAATAGTAATAAAAACTATGATGGATGAATAAAGTCGAGAACAAGCCTGCATTAAACACTCATTCAGTGGTTGATCTGCAAATACATCAGAAGCAATCGTAATTAGTAAATTTGCGATTCCATAATAAAACTAAGTTACGTAATACAAATGAAATTTATTATAAAACAAAAAATATATGTAATTTAGTTGTCGTTTTGCTGGAAACCTAAATACAGTCATATTCAAGTAACCTGAACAAGGTAGATGGACTGCAATCAACTGCAGTTTATTAATTACATTAATTTTTCCTCTTCTATGGTGAACGAAAAGAATTATCATCTACAAAGTTGTTTTCCGTCTTTTCTCTTTTCGACAAATTTATTGAAGAACTTAAAATGATAGAGAAAATGTTAAAAATATTTACAATTAGTATTAATTCATAAATTCCTCCGAATGAACCTACTCATTCAAACAAAATATTTAACGAATTAAGGTATCATGTATTTTATTTAAAATACTTGCTTACTCACGCCTGTTACTCCCGACCACAATTCTCCAACCCACTCTTCCATTGGCCTTTCTTTCTAGGTCTATCAAATTGTTGCTCATTCTTTTTTGTCTCCGTAAACCTTAAGTAAATAATTTTAAATATGGAGAAATTTAAAAATTGTTTTACTGTAACAAAATGTAAATTAAATTAAGATCAAAATGGTTTTTTGAGAATAATTTGATCGATTGATCTTCCTCATTTTGTTCAATATTCCATTTAAAATAACTCATAGTGTCATTGAATAAAAATAAAGAGAATCCAGTGAAGAAAATTTTCTTTTCGACGAAATCATTTACTTAAGCTGTACATTCGTATTTATAGTTATCTGGAAAATATATGTCTATAGGAGGATAGAAAAGATTACATCAATTGATTCGAGACACAGTCAAAAGAATTAAATCAAAGGTATGTCGAATCAATATTTTATGTACTGCTAGGGCATTGGCAATCCACGAACTCAAGCCCGAACTTTTCGTGGAGAAACAATCCATCCAACCTCTCATCCTTTCTTGACCCTAATTCCCTTTATTGGTATGTTTCGAGTCTTTTCCCTTTTTTCTTCATTTTTATTTGATTATTATTGACTTTTTTGAATTATTGTATTGCGATTTTAAACTCTAATCAGTTACTGTTATCACCTTTAAGCAAGTTTGCTTGATTATTATTCAATTTATATTATTCTGACATTTATGTTTGTCGTTTTTCTTCGTATCTGTCAATTGGATAATTATCTAACCCGTAGATTATTTTCATCTTTACCCCTTGATTATTGCGTAACCTCATTTGATAATAAGAGTCTCGAGTCAGTTTATGATGTAATCTTTTCTATCCTCCTATAGACGTATATTTTATACATCTAACTATATATAGGAATTTATACGAATATTCGTCAAAATTAGAGCGAATAGTTTGACAGTTATTGAGCGCCGAGTATAGAGAAGTCATTATATGTGAAAATTATATTTGAAATATTCTCAGCGATTGAAATTTAACTAATTCCAACGTTTCATTCAGCTAACTTATCTGGACGTCTTCAGGGTAATAATCAAAATCATCATATATACGAATGTACAGCGTAAGTAAATGATTTCGTCGAAAAGAAATTTTTTCACTGAATTCTCTTTTTCTTATTCAATATACCGTTTGTTCACAAAACTTAACATTATGTAAAATTATTAGAAAGAGGTTAAAAAATTTAATTATTATTCTTCACATAAATTTATATTTTGTCTTTGGTAATATACAAGAATAAATATTGTAAATCTCCTTTGATATACAAACTTCTAAAGTGGATTTCTCGATGTTACCATCAGCCAAACAATACCAAGTGAATTTAAATTCACCCCATTGCACAAGCATGTGGCTATCGAGACTCAGTAGCTGAGTGGATAACGCGATGGCATTTGAAGCGAATGGTACTGGGTTCGAATCCCAGAGTGAACATCAACTCTGAAGTGCAGGTACATCCAGCTGACGCGTCCCAAATTGGACGAAACGCGCGTCCTGGATCCCACTGCTAGCCACTATCCATCATTGCTTACATCAGATATAAGCTTTCAAATATATTATTAATCAGTCACTAGCAGTGAAATTAGTACATGTATCTCAACAACATCTCAAACTCATTGTATGCATGTTATTGTACTATTATTCACAATTTTTCTCTTTCGACATAATAGATACATGAATCAAGTTTTAGTATGAATACTAACAATGAATTGTAAATACATCAAATCGATAGTATAAAAGCTACATTCTTATTGTAATTTTGATTATTAAACTGAAAAATTGAATAGAATAATAAACAAATAAACATTCATACAATGTAGTAATGATTTATTATTGCGGTAGGCGGGATCGTGGGCACGCGTTGCTGAGAAGTCCCATACTAGAATGAAACGGCCGTCCAGTGCTTCCAGGTTTTTCAATGGTGGTCTAACTTTAATCGATTCATGATCTCAATCGAAAACTTAACAATCTCCACAACCCTAAACTGATCATTCAATTTTTACTAAATCATAATTTGAACAAAATATAAATTAATTTAATACAATTAAATGAAAACTTTAACTCAACCTTTAAAATATTGAAAAATATTATCGATTTAAAAAAAGAAAGAAAGGAAACAAAAGAAAAAAGAAATTAAACAAATTTCAATTGAAAGTGATAATATTGTTTAAATGATACATTTCGATAATGCAATCAGAAGACAAAGTTGATCAGAACTATATGGTAGATTAGCGCAATACATTTCGAACAATCTAATCACACGTAATATACTTGTTAAGAACATTTATATATATGAAAAATTAAAAAGTCAACTAGGCAGGTTAAAGGTAAGCCATAACAAAGAAAATAATAAAGTATAGAAAAACAATCTGGTAGCCACTCTGGATAATAAGTCAGTATCATATATCACATAGATATATGTATATATGTACATCACATAACTATGATAAACTTTGTCTCCTTATTGAATTACCGAAATGTTTTACCGAATGTTTTAAATAATAAATACTTTGTACAAATAATGATTTTTACATTTGATTTTCCTCTATTTTTTCTTCAAAGAAGAAATAGCATTTCTATAAAAAGTTTATTTTAGATGAGAGAAGAAAACAACAAACAAAACAAAGCAAGACAACAACAGCAACAACAAAGAAACAAACAAACAAAAGATCAATTTCAAGTTTTTTTTTATGGAGAACGTATAATATCATAAACTTGTTGATGAATATTAGAAATTCGATTATCATTATTATTTTTATTGTTGTTTGATAGAATTAATCTATTTAATAATGAATTATCAATTCTATTTTCATTGAAATGATTTACATATTTGTTCAAATTAACATTTGAATTAGATTGTATTTGTTGTAATAAAGAAATAATAAATTCACGTAGTTTAGTTAAACTCTAAAAACAAAAGAGAAATAAACTACATAATAATGAATAAAATCTATAAAATATATTTAATTGATAAATTCATTCGGTATTGTTTACTTGAATATTTTCAATGATGGTTAGGACTGTAATCGATCAGTCTCTTATTGGTATATGTTCATATTGTGCATATTGCTTCGATATTGCCTTAATTCACAAGTATTATAAGCAAAGACAGATAGTGACTAGTAGTCGAACCTAAGATGGGCGTTTCGTCATAGTTGGGACTTGCCAGCTGGATGTACCTGCATTTTAGGATTAATGTTCATTCTGGGACTCGAACCTGGTGCCGTTCGCTTCAAACGTCATCGCGTCATCCACTTAACGAGTTTTAAATAAGACAAAACGTGCGTTCTAGACTATACTACCAGTCACTATCCATCTTTGCTTATATCAATGATAATTTACAATTTCTTTTTTCAAAAGTAATCATGAAAGATTGATGCTTTACGCTAAATTTAGGCATTCAATTTATCCATATTTAATTAATCACCTGGATTGAAATATACTACCAATAACTTGTATGAATAATTTTTATTAGTATTGTGATGTATGCTACTGATGTCGACAGATATACGTAGTATCATCAATCGAAAAAGAGAAATGCCTGGCGGTAGAAGGTCAAGAAGGTCGAATATAAGATAATGAAAACAGATAATGATTGGTGTGGAGACGAAAGGACAATGAAGTCTGAGACGATTGATTGATATTTTGCAAATGACTTATTTATTGAATGGTTCTCAGATTTTACTAAGACGTTCTGTAATTTTTTAAAATCAAATATATTCGATTTTCCCCATTTTTGTTCACGTTTACTACAATATAACCGACATCTGTCTGAAACCAATTAGTTATAGATATTTTAGGTGTTCTATTATAAAATCTCCAGTTCACCTTAATGAACTGATTTTAGCTAATTGATAATCATTAAAAGTCAGTTAGTAATAAAAATTATAAGCTGAAATATCTGTACTAAGTACAAAAATTTACTTAAATTTACTTTCGCTTACATACTGTCATGATAAAATGCTATATAACTGTATATCCATACCCACAAAAGGGAAAACATAAGTATTAAAGTTTTTTTCAATTACAATTATTATACTTTACGCTTTCGTATGTGATAATCAGCATGTTTCGTAAAATATTTAGGTAGGTGAGCAGTAAACGTAAATATTAAGATTGTTTGTTTTGGATATTTATCATAATCAAATGTTTGGCAAGTTTTCAAAGATCATGTTTTTTAAAAAACTAATAACTCATATCCACATTTCTTACGGTTAGAAACAGTATCACCAAATTAATGGATTTTCGATCATTTTACTTATGATTAATATTAAGTAAACATTATCAATGGAACAAGGTAAGGATTGGAAACTAGATATTTATAGACACCAGTTAATATACTCATAATATTAATAGTATAAACCTACAGAATGTTTGTAATGGTTCAGACAATACAAGAAGTATGACTTCAAATGTGACACTACGAGGTAAATTCCAAAATTCAGTAGATTATTTTAAATACAATATAACTTGCTTCACATGAGAAGTTGAATTAATAGATATTGGCGAGTGTTCTAGGAATTTATATTTTCGGACTCGCGAGTATCTCCTAGTATGTTAAAGCAAAGGTATAGTTAAAACTCTTAATAGATCGATTTCATCTCAGCCATACAGCTAACATGGAGCAATCACTCACCATAATATATTATGTTAAAAGCAATCTGCCTAAATCTGTCAGACCAAGAATCCTTCAGACGGCTGAAGTGAACTGGGGCTTTGTGTCCTGAAGAAGAATGTTCAACCTCTCCTTTTACTTTGGCCAACTGCTGACCTAATTAGTTAGTAATCATTTTTATGATGTGATGACGTAATTCGATTAATGTTCATTTTCATAACTTAATACATAGCTTGATACATATTATTATAATTACACTCCCAAACGTTTTTGAGAAATTTACTCAGAATTCACCCTTATTTACTAATTCGTATTCAATTCATATTATTGTACATATTATGTGATGTCTGATTTGTAACTACATTATCTCTCTCCACTCATGTTAACCATATTTATTCTGATTATTTATCTCAGATTTTCATTGAACGTATGAACTTATTGAAGTCAGTACTTCATATAAGTCACCTCAACATTATTTTATTTTGCAGTCCTAAATTCACAAGCTATAATTTTAAACAATGTATTTTGCCCTAAACCTGACCACTTTTTGGATCATTAATTTGGATACATATGTATAAGCCAACTAACCTGTCTCCTTGTTAAAAGACGTTCTAAATCTTCACAAAGTAAATTACGTTCGGATGCTAATTTATCCCTTTCTTCTTTGTACAGTAATGATTTTCTTTCAATATCTGCTAACTGACTGCATAATGAATGAATTTGATTATCTTTTTGTGATATTGTCTGATATAAACAGTTAGTTGGCTGATTAGTTATAGACTTCCAACTCATACTTTTGTTTAATTCCTGTCAATAATATTATGAATAAAGAAATACTTAAAATGACTTGAAAATTTTATTAAGAGTTATACAAATATTTGGATTTGATAATTTATTCACTGGTTTAGTACTTATATATATATATATATATATATATATATATATATATATATATATATATATCAGTCTTCCAATGCCAATTAACTAAGCCTAGTTAGGTATTGAGTATTGTTCAAATTCAATAAACGGTCAAAAATTAAGATCTAGTTAACAATTAGTCAGTGACTAGGCACGTAATATCGATTTGCAACCTTATCATGACCTAGATGATCTGTAAAGAAATAGTTATAATATGTGCTACAAAAAGACCATTAGTTCACAACAGAGCTAAAAAAGATACATAATCCTATGGTGAAAAAGTCATAAAATTGTGTTAGGGAAATGAATTAACAGATTGAAATTGAATGTAATATTATTTTTTGAAAACGTTAGATTTCAACGAAATCCATCTTAACAGAATGTGAAAATACATCCATTTTGGTTAATATAAATAGCTGTAATTGAGTTGAGTTAGCCTTCGGCACTTCTATAACCTAACGATTTGTAATTAAAAAACATGTGTACGTTACCAATGTTTGATAATTGATTTCTTCAATCTGTTTCTTGCTTACGATGAAACAACTGAGTGGTCACTGTCTGATGAACTTAAGTAATACGAATTAAAATCGATTGTATCCTAGCAGACGTTAAAAGGATTAATAGTAACAGGAAACAACTGGAAGAGATTGTCTAGAACAGAGTTCGATGGAGAATCCCTGCAGGCAGCCTATGCTTCTCCACGAGGGCTAACATGCGTAAGTAAGTAAGCAAGTATTTCGGTAATTTGGTGCAGTGACTTGGAATAAAGCACATTTGTGATAGGTTCTAAGTTGAATGTGACTGATGAGACTATTGACAATGAAATGAAAGTAAACAAACACTTTGCTGATATTACTTAATTTCAGCATAAAAATTGGATCACACATATCTTTCACAAGAATTTTTTTTGTAATTCTATACTGATTAGTGCAATAATTTGTATTCATTTAATAATAAATATCTAATGTTTATATATGAATAAATAAACCAAACAATATTGAATCAGGTCAAGTTACCATATACTTTAAAAAAAGAAAATCAATAATCACAATAACCGAAAGGTTATTATAATGAACAAAACAACCGAGATTAGAAGAGTTAAATTCATTTAATGCTCACTATCATTGAGCTACAATACTTCGAACTGTGCGTATATTCAAATCATGTTTATTGTTAATTTTATTTAGTATATAATTATCCGTATATGAGTGTGTAGTTCTGCTGAATATAAACAAGTTTGGTTTGCTGGTCACTTAACCTGCTTATCGGTATCCGTTCATTTCAGAACTCAATAGTAATAGTTAGAATTTTATTGAACGATTGCTTTACATCAGTTCAGACGATCAACCAAGCAACCATATCCTCATAATTCTTCTTTAATATTAGAAAGAATGATGTTAAGTTGTATAAAACGGTTGTTGTATGCTGAAAAAATAATAAGTAATGAGAGAATAAAGGTTTTAAAAAAAGTTAAGACGTAAGTACACCGACTATATGGTAACCAATTTTTAAGTTACGATACTCATATTTACAATTTCTGATTGTGTAACATCTAAAAAATAAATTAACTATAGAAAGATGAGAATATCAGTTTCCTCATTAATTTGCATAAATTATATTGATGATTCATAATGAGAGATTCATGTAAATTGTTTTATTTTTTTCAGGTTAAATAGATCAAACAAAATGTAAGAGTTAAAAGTAAATGAAGTATTTTGAAATAATTCATATTTTTTCCGTTGAGATCATGAACTAATTTATGTTAGACCACCATTGAAAACCTGGAAGCACTGGATTGCCGTTTCGTTCTATTATGAGACTCCTCAGCAGTGCGCATCCACGATCCCGCCTCGCAGGATTCAAACCCAGGGCATTCAGCCTCGTGCGCAAACGCTTAACCTCTACACTACTAAGCCGATATCCAACGCTGTTAATGTCTAACCTCAACCAATCCACGAAATTGCGCGCCCATCTTCTATTGTACTAAGGTAGATACTTGTCTCTACCCAAAACAGATTAGCTCCACTGGTCACGGCAAATGTATCTTGAATTATCAGCGATCTAAGCATCATATACAATTAACCAATTTGTAGTAGTACACAAAATTACAGAAAAAATCCTTCATACTAGACAAATTATTTACAGTTATATTTTGTATATTGGATTTGATAAAAGGGAGACAATTGTATATAATGATCATTAATCGATAGGTCACTTTATTGTTTTGTTTTTTATTCTCAAACTCTTTCTCATAGCCTATTCTAGTTTTACTAAATTATAACAGTTTTGTTTAGTTTTAAACAATTTAAAACATTAACATTGTTATTTAAATAAACAACTAAATGATCAATATTAGCATTATATATTTCATCAGGATTCCTATTTTAATTATCACAATGCTTAGCAGTATTACAACTCCGCCTGTAACGATTTTAGGGCTACTACCGATACTGTACTCGCTTACGAAGAAAATACTCCGCACACTCAGGAAGTTGTTCTGATGCTGTCCAAACAAACAGGAAATGCACTTAAAGGATGACAGTTTCATGGATCCAGAACCACCAAAGCATCTTTAAAAACAAAGAAGAATGGAGTCACAATGAATGTTATCTAGTGCTACGCACCCACCGATGATAGTAATGAACATGATAAGGACCAGCTTTACGAGAGGCTGAAAGTGATTATGAGGAACTAGCCAGGAAACAACCTGATAATCCTGATGGGAGACCTAAACGACAAAGTCGGACTGAACAACACTTGATATGAAAATATCATGAAACGACATGGACTAACTGAGAGAAAGGAACGAGAATGGTGACAGATTTGCAAATCTATGTGCATTCAAAAAATGGTTATGGGTGGCACTATTTCCCACACCGGCAGAAATGTATACACAAAGCTACATGGGTCTCACTGGACCATAATACACATAACCAGATCGATCATATTTGCATCAGTAAAAAATACAGAAAGTCATTTGAAGACGTGAGAACCACGAGAGGAGCTGATATAGCTTCAGGTCACCACCCGGTAGTTGAAAAGATGAGACTAAAAATAAAAAACACTGGACAACTGGAGAAACAGCATTACAAAGGTTCAATATAACCTCCCTTCCAAATACTGACACACCCAACCAATTCAAGATAGTTCTGAACAACAGGTTCTAAGCATTTTAGGTTCTACTGAAAGAAGAAGAAACTAGTATAGAAGACAACTAGGAAGGGATCAAGGAATCACTAACTTCAACGTGCCAGGAGGTTCTGGGTCGCAACAAGTATAGTCAGTAGGAATGGATTTCTATCGAGATAGAAAGAACGAGAAGACAGCAATTAACGGCGATCGAATAAGTGCAGAGAAAGACAAGGCATAAGATGAATACACAGAATCAAACAAGCAAGCAAAAAGGAGCATTAGAAACTACAAGCAGAAGTACGTGGAAGACTTAGGATTGACAGCAATAAAAGCTGCAACAGAAGGAAACATCAAACAACTATATGACAGCGGAGAAAATAGGATGGAAATATAGACAACCAGCGAGACCGATCAAGGACAAAGAAGATAAGCTTAATAACTGAAATTCAACAACAGCAGAACAGATGGGTGAAAAACTTTGAAGAACTCTTGAATAAGCCCACCATTGAATCCACCGGGCATCGAAGCAACACACAAAGACCTTTCTATAGATATCACTCCACCGACGATCGAAGAAATCAACATCGACATCAGACAATTCAAGCGTGGTAAAGCAACAGGACCTGACAATTTAACAGCCAAAACACTAAAGTTGTTTTATGAACTTCGCCTTATTTATGAAAGATCATGAAATTTATCATAAAAACAGATTCATTTAACATGTCCGTAGCATTTGTTTCATCACAATCTATCAGAAATGAATTCATTTGACAGAATGCAATAGATATTAAAAACAGATAGGTTGGTATCAAATATCAGAAAGGTTTCAAATTCCTAATGTAAGGTACATACGGTGATCAGAAAGGTAAACGATTACCTCTATACATATAAAAAGGTTTTTTTTTCTTTAGTGCTGTTTAATGAAAAAATAGGGAAATTGAGATGAAAAAGATCAAGTTACTCTAATTTAGAATATTCGTTAAGCATATTCTGATGAAAATACATACACACTTACTATAGAGTCATATAAAACAAATATAAACAGACTACAAGAAAGACAAATTGAACCATCTTTACGCACACATATAATCAAACAAAGCAATCTATTTAGAATTAAACGGTGAATAGGAAAATGTTAACAGTTAGTTGTTCCAGTCGGCTTTAATTATAAAACTAATAAATGATGGAATAAACAATAAGATGCATAATCAAATAATGAGACTTCGTTACAACATAGTAGGCTTAAGGTAAATCAGAAGACGAACAATCATTAGGATTACACAAATGTTTAGAAAATAGGATTTTCGGTATTCAGAGAGATAAGTCGACCTCCAGATCACTGAATCGGAATCTAACAGTCGACGTTTTCAATTTCAATTAGCGATGTTAGGCGACTATTATCTATCGTTATATGTGATAACTGTCTCACTCTAGATATGATTGAACTTAACTAGTCAGGGCTTCTGTTTAACATATCAAGGTGACAATCACCACACACCTTCATTCGTATTAAGCTAAAGAAGCCCTGAAACTAAAATTGTTGTTTTGTTTCTGAGCAAGATCATAGTCTCTAAACAGATCAACGTCGTATCGAAAAATCATGGAGAAAATTCGACTTCTATTGATGATCAGGTTTATTTTTCAATTACGCACACTAATTAGATTATTGGATAACAGGCGATGTTGATTCAGAATCTACTGATCAAGCAATTCATTCTCGTCACTGAAGTCAATGATAATTATATCACTTATGGATTATCTACCGTTTATCTTATTTATGCGAGACATTGAAATATTGTTGGATTATTTGTAAAAGTAATTACATTTCCTAAAACATTATTCAAAATATACATAATATTGACTATTTTCTTTCCATAGCTTCGATTAAACGACTAACCACTCTTTAGGTACTTCAATAACCAAGTTAAAGTTCATCAAAAATGAGCATTTCATTAGCAGACTTCCGTTCTTAGCTTATGTATTTATATTTTTTTCTAATGAGTATAGAAGGGTTTATGAGGATTGCACAGCTTTCATAGTTTGCGATCCGGATTGATCCAAGATAGACAACCGAAAAAAACTCTGGACAGCTGTTTCGTCCTAGTATGGGATGTTATCTCAGTGGTCTATAGGTTAAGCACTCTTCATTAAAAGGAAGGTCTTGGTTCGGAACTCTGCTCTGCTCTTGGATGTGTGCTGCTAAGAAGTCTTATACCAAGACAAAATAGTTTACCAGCAATTCTAGGTTTTCACTGTTTGTCTAGCTAAAATCAACCAGAGATGTAAACCATGAAAAATCCATTTCTTCCAATAAAACAAAAAAAAGCAGGCGAGTAAATTAAAAAAATATTTACTTCAATTTCTTGACACTTTTTGACAAGTTCGCTTTGAAGATTACTAACTTCCAATTTCAATTTTTGTATAGTTTTGAGTAAATTAACAGTATTTATCTTCGACTTGGAGCATAAATCATTAGAAAATGCTGGGATGTTAGTTAATTTGGGACTATCACAGTGTATGTCTAATAATATTTCATTCATTTCTTTCTCAGTTATTTCACATAAATGCAATCTCTTTTCATAGCTTTCCTCTTTTATTTTCCAAACAGTTTTCTCTTGATTGAATCGAGATTCTAACTGTTAAAATATTAGAAAGAAATGGAAAACAATTGACTTGAGCTTTTAACATATAAGGAAACAATGTTATTACTTATAATAATTTTAAGTAGTATGACAAAATTACAGAAAGTTTTATGGCTTTTCGGTCGCCTTTCACAGCCTTTTTAATCCGTTTAGCAGTCATCCACTGAGGGTATGTTGCATGCCCAAATACAGAACACTTATTTTGGTACAGATTGAAGCACTTACAAGTCAGTTTTACTTTCGGAATCCAGAGGAAACATGTGAAAAAATCCTGGTAAACTGAACATGGTAATTTAAATTGACTAGGTGTGATCAATTATATATATGATTACATGTTTAAATTCAATTTAAAGACTTGTGGCATTGGATCATTCTGGAAATATCTTTAATAACAAGTCAATTTTAAAAAACCGGTCTGTGAAAGGAGATGTCCGTAAAGTCAGATGAAATAATTACAAAAATTTCAAGCTTTTAGTGATTTTTGTATCTTCCAATTGTTGTTTAGGACTGCTATTGACCAGTCTCTTGTTGAGATATGTGCATACTGTGCGGACTGCTTCGATGTTGCTTCAAATCACAAGCTTTATAAACAAAGACGGATAGTTTTTAGTAGTGGAATACAAGCTTATGCTTGACTTCTTCAAATATTTAAATTAGATAATATAAGAATAACGAGTATTCAGTAATTTTTAGTACAACTCACCAGCCCTAATAATTAAATATCAAACTACCTGAAACACTAAGACAATAAATTGTAACTCACTTCATAGTATAGTTTTTTACTAGCATCTAATTGAGCATTAAGTTTTTCAACTTCTAAAGATGCATCTTTTCTAGCAGCTTGTTCAACTTCTAAATTGATCATTGCTGTTTTAATTTGTTCACGCAATTGATTATCATATTCATTATTCAAATACTTATTAGAACTTTTCATTTCGTCAATCTTTTCTTTATATTGATTTAACAAACATTCTGTTTCTTTTAATTGTGATTTTAAATTTGTATATGCAGATATGGCGTTTTCTTTTTGTTCTCGAAGAAAGTTAATCTCTTTGTTATGTATTTCTTGATCAATAGACTATAAAGTGAACAAAACAGCTATGATAGATTTTTTAAATATAGACTATGCATTCAAGCAAAAGAATACATTGATTCAATGTATCAAAGGTTATTTCCATTTCTGCAAGTCACTTGCTATCAGGTTGTATAGGCTTCAACGCAAATAGGAATGAGAAAAAAAAGTGTCAGTCCAAAGAATAAATCTACCTCAACAACCATGAAAGAACAGGAGCCATACTATTTACATTGTTTAATGATTGATTTTAGCCACATTTCAAATCTTGGTCGGTAAAAGATAACTTTCTCGAATAAGCCACAACCACATCAAACCTTTTCCTCTATGATAATGCAACTTTAATTGTCAAAACATTTTGAACTAGATGATGTCGTGGTAAATGCTCTAGCCGATTAATTTAATTTTAATTATTGTAATTTCATTGACTGACTTGTTTTGTTTGCCACGGATTCTGTAAATAACTTCAATAGTGCTAGTCTTGTAATTTGAAAAAGAAGGGAAAAAGGTAGATCAGCTTGTGTTTATAGACTTATGAATATTTCTAATTTTATTGATTTCCTTGGTTTTACCGTTCTTAATGGTTGGTTTCCTCGGTCACATTGATACATTCTTAGGATAACAAATTATTTTTAATTGAGATCATGAACCGTTATAGGATTCCATGACTTGATCTTTCTCCAACTTACTCACTTATAAAAGCTGCGTTGTTAAGACTCAATTGCTGTGTAGTTTTTCCATTATTTACGCTTATTATAGGAAAAGTCTCTGGATTTCATACTAGGAAGAAACAATTGTTCAGTGTTCTCTGGTTGTCAACGTTGCTAATAATCTCTATCAACTATTATGTAACCGTTTATTTATAACTGTTTGACCTTTTTACTACAGATGTTGTAAAATGTTCTTCCATATATGATGTAGATTTGTAATTTTTCTAGTCTCCTAAATTAATTTGTGTCTCAGTTATACTGTGATTATAACGAATTCTAAATACATTCTTTTATGTAATTATTTCCAACCCCCTTTTTGTAATTTTTACTTTTAAATACTAAAGTTTGTAAGCAGCTAACGAAAACCTAAGAAAATAGAATAAGTTCATGTTATTCTGCCTAAGCGTTCACTTGTTGTTCTAATTAAAATGCTAAGGGGAACCATACAAGCACTCATTCTAAATAATATAATCCTAACCTGAGATAGGCTACACTGGAATGAAATAATCAAGATAATTCCCAGAGTAGTAGAAGTAGCGACAACGTCAGTATTAGTAGGACTAGTAGAGAAGATTAGGTATGGAGCGAAAAGGAAACAGGTGGAAACTTCGGGACTCAAAATCTAAAAGAAGACAAAGAATAAATCTATCTCTACTGTTGAGAATAATAATTTACAGTAATACTACTACAGTTTTTATATTCAAATTAATAATTTGCACATACTTTTAATCGTTCAAATTCACTTTGAATTAATTTGCTTAATTCACCAGTTTGATTTTTAATAGTTGCATTCAAATCTAATGGTAATTGAGTTTCATTAGAGAAATAATTAGTTTTATTCATTTGATTTGAATTATTTTCTAATTCAATAATTAATTTTTGTTGCGAAGCAATTTTTTCTTCAGCTGTTGATAACTGAATACGAAGATTCGATAGCTAATAATCAGAAAGTAAATATTAATTGTAATTTATTAGTTGGAATAAAATTCTTGATAAAAGTACATCGTATCTTTGTCAATGTTTATCTTTTCTTATATAGTTTTGTGTTCTCAGTGATTGATGGTACAAATGTAAAGCATTTAATATCATTCGAAACAATATCATCTATGTCATGTTATTGTTCAGACCAACAATGAAAGCTTTGAAGAACGTCATATCACTAAAACTCTTTATCCGAATGACAAATTTTTGTTTTAATATATGTTAGATGTTTCCATAAGGAAAAACAAAAGAGCGATGCGTAAGCAAGGTGAGTTTGTCATCATGAAAAAAGCTAATTCGATCACAAAACTATTTGCATGGGTGATTACTTTAGAATATTTAACATTGAATTTATTACATTATTATCTTGTCTCACAAGGTCTAATAACCAACGGTACCGGATTCGAGTCCCGAGGAGAACATCGAATCTGGGATGCAGGTACATCTAGCTGACGAGTCGCAAATGGAAAGGAATGCGCGTCTTGGATTCCACAGTTAGACACCATCCATCTCAGCTTATATTGATATTATTCTTAACATATTATCTTCGTCAAGTAGCAATGCTCTTGGGAGTTGAAGATTTTTGATGATTCAATCGTTCACTGATTACCAAGTTAGAAAAAGCACTTAACTCATTATTGTGTACATATAAAAATCATTGTGAAATAGTAGAATACCAACAATTTAAAAAAATCATTATTTATAATATTAGAAATACCTGTTTCAAAAAATATTCTTTATCTATTTTCATTAAATGCAGTTGTTTTCGGATAACCTGTAATTCAACAGAATCTTCATTATTATTAACACGAGATTTGTCATCATCAATAATGTTTCTATTAACTTTAGAGCTGATTTCCTCAACACGATCATAATCAATTTTATCAAAGTTATAATCATTTGTAATATGAGATTGTGATTGATTTGATTGTTTTACAGGTTGATTACATTTCATCAATTGTACAGTTGATAATGATGAATTAAGCAATGTTGTATCAACAAATTGTACATGTTTACGATTAGTTTCAATGTTACAATTTTTATTATTGATATTGTTACGATTAAAAGTCTGTATAAAATAAGCAGAGAAATTAGAAAATAAGCAGACAGTGTTTTGTTCACACAACTTTGATAAATAGATATGCAGTTTTATTTGTGATTAATACATATAGTATTATGATTAGCACCTAACTACTGGTTATTTATCTGTTTCTATGACTTCAAGGTAGTGATAGAACTAACCAGCAGTTTGAATTGAAAAGAGTGGTGTGAGGTCCAAACTAGTGTTTGGAAATAGGGTACCTTAACCACTCAGCCATATACAGTATAAACTGAGTATTCAGTTTGCATAATCTTTTATGAAGTCTAGTTTTACATTGCCATACTCTTGAGATTTAATTTCAATGCGTAATAAACTAATAGATGAACCAGTGAAAAACAACCAGATTTGTCCGCATCTAATGAAACATCGGTTATGTGTGGGGTTTTATTCAAACAAACTATATCTGATGTCACGGAAAGTGATTTAAAGTAAACGATTTATCATTCATTAAATCGACAAAGAAGCCAAAGATAAGATACATACCATGACGATACTCACTCTTATTAAAAAAATAAGTTAGAATACAATGGAATTTAGACTTTATTCAACTAATATAATAATTCGATGATAATCCAATCTGTCTGAAAAATAATAACTATCCCATCAAACTGGTTTATTCTTCAGGAATTTCGATGATTTAATATCTCAGACTAAAATGAATGTTAAAATTCAAATGATTATTCAGTTTTTTCCCTTAGACGTTTGTTAGTTAAATATACTTTAGTTGGAAATAACCCGTAACATCTACGTCTGATCTTTGATAAGAATTAGGGTAACCAACTCCTAATTCTTCAAATAGAAGGCAATATACAGTCAATGTTAATAGGTTCCTATAAATTTTCAACTAACATCTTTTGAAATCGGAACTTTCTAATTTTATCATTACCAAAATTTAGTAAATAATCTAGTTAGTTGAATGAATTTATTCAATTCATTTTGCGTTCTCCGGATTAATTTCCTGATCCCCCAACTTTGTCTGTATTTCACTATACTGACTAGTCTTAGTAGTTTGTGTCATGATCAATGATTTTTTGAAACTTGTTATGTACGATATTTCCTAACTATAATCGACTAATAATATCTAACATTCACACTTTATACAATATTTGGATCCATTTTCTTAATTTCAATGGCGTTTTCTCCTCTATTTCCATATAGGGTCTCTGTTATGTGTATTGTGCATTGAAACTATTTGTTTTGAACGACTTGGTTATTTTGAACATGTATAACATGATATTTCGTTAAGTTTTAATAACTGTTCAACAAAACTGTATTTTTCCATCTTATTTATGGCATATATTCTGATTTGATAGTTATCAAATTATTTTAAAAATAAAGTTCTTTTCCTATGGTGTCTTTGACGGCGTCATTGATTTCTGGCCGCCATATTATTTAAAGTCTGTAAACTTTGCATCATAATTATTTCGTTAATAGTACTCTCTTTCAGATAAATCTCATATTTAAATTTCGAGATCTTAAACATCATTCGATCGTTGAATTGAAATCTTTAAAGAAGATTCCATGAAAATTACTGTTTATTATAAATTATTACATTTTTTCCATAAGTAAATCTCTTTGGCATGAACGATATAAGAGAGGAAAGTAGAAAATTGAATTATACTAGAGAATACTTTTTTGAAAAAAATTGATTTACTAACTTGGGAGAGAAAACTAAAAACCTATGTAGCCATACTTTCACTAATTCTAAAGTTGATAAATTATTCACAGCTTTATTATTTAATACATCAAATTCTTTTGAAGTTAACAATGAATAATTACTGATATTTATTTGATTCATATCAATGTTTTCCAATTTGTCAGGTAATTTTGTAAGTAGAATTTCACGTATTGATTTCAGTTGACCATGTAATTCTTCATTCTCATTTATTAAACGTCGTTTACATGCTATTGTTTCAGCTAGATCAGCTTTTAATTCACTAGATTCAGTTGTAGCTTCTAAAAGTGTATCATAACGAGCAGTGGCCAAATTTAATCTGATAGACAATGTTTTAATTTGTTCCTTAATGAGAACATAAAAAAATGGAAAATTAAATATACATTTTAGTAATGCTATTCATTATAGAGACAGTAAAAATTTTATTGTCACTTTAAAAATCAAAGTTGTCATTATAATACGTAACTATTAAATACTTTAATTTATAATTACAATTCAATGGGCATGAAAGTAAGTAAGTAAATCGCTTAAGAATTCATGAAATTTTCATATACTTTGCTTCTGTAAGAAGTGAGAATGAGGTCATCTTGCCCAATGTAAAAAAAATTAAACAAACAAATATAAAAGATAAATCAATAAGTAATAACCAGCTTAACCGTAGATTACAGATATTTTTTACTATTGTAAATCATGCACCAACATGGCCAAATGTATTTATAGATAGTAATTGCGAATGAAACCAAGATTACTTCTGTCAACAAATTCAATCGGCAACTGTTAGCATTTTAGATATTCAACAATCAAAATAACTACATAAAATTGAAATCCCACTCGATTGTCTTGCATCGTTTTCTACTATATTGTTTATTTATTCTCTTATAACTAACACCTATCCGTTTGGTCAATTAAAAAATTTTGTGTATTAACTACTGAGACATTTAGTGAATTTTATATCTCAGTAAAGCAAATTACATCGGTTAGTCGAACTCATATTTTAGTTACAGATGGCGAGAGACAAATATGAGTAATCTCTGATTCCTGACCTGTTCTTTAAATTAAATCAATAATAACTAAGGTTGAATAACTAATTTAAACCACAAGTAACCTAATAAAATGGTATAATAGCTATGTATGCTGTAAACACAATGTTAGCGTAAACAATAAAACTAATTAAAATTTTAAAACAGTGAGTAATGTAGCTTAAGATAACACAAAACGCCGCTTCCAAAGTAAGGTTATGATATCCTTCGCTGTCTCTGCATTCACTAATTATAAATAAGGTTTCCAACCATCAAGTATAAGTGAGGCCTGTGAAAGCTGTTATGAAAGCCTCTGGTCCATCATACGAATAAGACCAACAATTAAAACGGTGGGTTGATGGAATTCTCTCTACTCACTAATCTGAGTATTTTACTTAAACCACAACCTTATATACGAAAAACGGAGATCTCAATCAATGGAGTCCCATTTAATAAAGCTTAAAGTTCTAAGTATATGCGTGGCTTTAACAGTTACTGATAAATTTTTACCACCTTAGCAATTATTTAATAAGCTGAAAACAAAATCAAAGATCATCAATCTCATTTTACTTCCAAAATAATTATGATGCAGATTTTTGGTAAAATTAGTCTCGTTTGAATTTAAACAGACTAAGAAACCAAGGGTCTATAAAATTAGTTGTCTTTATGAAGAATTCCTCACTGCTTGAAACAACTACATGGTGGTGTAGAGAAACAGGACGAAACACATCATTTCATCAGCAACACACAGTACATTTACAAAGCAATGCGGAAGTGGATCATCTTTTTAAGAGGTAAAAAGATCTTCGCTCAATAAAGGAAACAAATGAGTGCTAGTTTAACACATTCTCAATTTTGTATGGGTCAAAAATATGGTACTAAGACAATTCCTTACAGACTCCTGGATAGAGAAGTGTTTGAAATCTGAAAATTATAAGCTAACACTATACACATTTTACCAAACACCAAATGGAGTAGTGGCTTAACGATAAGAGCTATGATTTCTCATCAGCAAACCAAAGCCTAAAAATGCCCTTTGCTCATTTTGACTTGTGTATCTAAGTATTATCCGTAACCCTCCCATAGACTGAACTTCCTAAGATCGGATAGATAAGCTTATATTATGTACACAAAATCACGTTACATCTCTTAAGGCAGGTTCTGTAGACAAAATGGTGCTAAGTGCAAAACAATATGCTAACTGTACCTTCTGCTAATCTTTTTGCAAGACTATACATACACACAATGTCGCTAAAACGAACTGAAGCATACCACTATTGTTACCTTCAAAATAAGAACTCCGAAAATGAGTAAATGTGCTTGTTATAGTTAACTGTTGCAACTTTTTTAGGGTCTACAACTAAATGGCTTCAATAAAACATCGGTGAAGAAAGCTAAATAAAAAAACCAAGTTACGTGAATTTATAGGGAAAGATCAATAACAATGACATATACATAACTTCAAGGCTTATCTGCGTTTTGAAAGTTTTGAACATTTAATTTACAAGTTTTTAGCCATATTCCATTTTTCACAGTAACAAAAAGCAATCGCGACCAAGAAGAATCGTTATACTTTAAGCAATTGGACGAGTATGACAACTCATCTTGAGACAGTTTCAGTTCAAAGAAGCTAATAAGCTGAATTTTTCCGTGAAAAAAACTAACCAAGAGCTCGTCCTCCCTCGCTTTTGAAAGATTTTTGGTATTTTGTAATGCTGTTGAGTCATTCAGAAAGCGTGTTTGCAACATTCGCATTTCATGTTTTAATTTTCCTTTAGAGATAGTTTCAGTCGTTAAATCCTCCCCTGTGTCAGAAATGTCTTCATTCAAAATTGAGTCCAAAATTTGTGCTTGAAAATGACTTGAGTTGTCCGCATTTATGTCTGAAAAATCCTTATTTTCGGGCGAGATCATATTTGTTGTGTAGTTCAAAAAGACGCCACTCAAACAATCAAGCCAATATAACACTTGACCGAATAAAACCAACGCCTATAATATTTTACTGGAAAAGTTACTGGATTCTAAAATGTCATTGAAGCAATCAACGACTGCTTTAGACTGCCCTTTTTTAATTTCTCTGGTTTTTTTTGGTGATATAGATCCTGGAGGCATGTTGTGCTTTGTGTAAATGAACGATTGAGTGTGTATTAATAATCTTGGGCACTTTAAACTCGTATTAAAACGTCCTGTTAAGCCTGAAAAGATCGTAAATATTATAAAGTTGGCTCATATTCTCAGATATTATCAGCAAAGTAAAACCCACAGTCACATAACTGCTTGCTCGGGAAATTCATACTTGCAGTTAGATGTATTTACTGCAACTGACCAATTTAGAAGATAAGGAATAGCATGCCATGACAATAACATATCACGGGGAACAGTGAAATTATTATCCTTTGATTGTGTGACTTAGTTCTTCAGTATTCCACCTACCATTATTTCAGACTGCGTTTACTACTTGCAATCACGTTGTTCTGTAACTTTATCATATTCATCAGAGTATTTAGGGCCACTGAAATATCACTGGACCGTAGACAAATAGATAAACAGGAGGGTCACTGAATGTCGAAAATTTCGCCGACCCTCGATGGAGTTAAGGAAAGTCAACGCACATCCATCAATTGCACGCCATAGACAGGCGTGGTTCTGTCTTGCACTTCTGTAACTTATTAATACTAATATTTGCCATCTCCTGTTGAAAGTATTTATTTTAAGCAATCACTTAGGAAGTTGATCTATGGGGTTATCACGATAGCAAAATCTAGGTTAAGTATTAATGATGAAGTGTGACTTCTACGTAAGCTAGGGTATCACACCATTCCCATCTAACTCAAATAGTCCTCTACCATCGACATCGCTTACGTTGGTGACCTACAGGTACATCATGTAACGACAACATCATTCCACACAGCAGATTATCGTTTAGTGAAACGTTTTCGTAGGTGTACAAAACGTTTACTAACATCGTAGGCTGATATGACAAGGTAGTAATGCATATCATTCAGTCCTCCTTGTAACCTGATCTGCAACTTACTACAAGTAATACAGTGATGAATGCCAGTCCTACTGTACACAACTAGGGTGAACAAGGTCATAAACACCTGAGTTCTGACAAATTTATTTTGGTGCATGTTGAAACAACCATAAAACTAGTGAAACTGACGCGTGAAGGACGTTATTACATAGGTGAGTATGTAACAAGTGCCAAGTAGAAGACTGTGCCTGTTAGCCGATTGAAAAAGACCTTCCTAAATGACCGACAGGAATACACTTATATCAAAGTAGAATGGTTAGTCACCTTATGACTCACAGAAGCCAGAAAGCAATAACAATTACCATCTAAATTTAGATCTTTTAAATTTGCCCGGTAGAATAACGAATAAATTCAGAAGATACCATGCTCATTTACACAAAATTATCGTTAAATAATAACTACAATTTTCGTTATAATTTCGGTATTATTGTTAAGTTCCGTATTAGTACTACTATAATAACAGACTTGGTCTCAAAATTGTGGATCTGTCGTGACGTGGCCGCCTAATATACAAGATCTTGGGTGGAAGCTGCAACATTGTCTGTACTTGCTCGTCCTATTTTGACGATTAGCAAAATGAGGTCTAGCATTTCTGAAGAACAGAGTTGAACTGGATAGAGAAGTATACTTGATGGTAACTGTGCCTGTATTACTGAGTTATGCCATTTCGATTTCCTGTTGCTGACTTTGCTATTTTCCACCTCCCTCCTACGTGTTAAATATCGGGTTACATACTCGACTCCAAGGATCGTGTGGCTAGAAACCAATAACAGTACAATATCCCAGTTCATAGGAAATTGCATTTTTGAAATTTCGTGACTTTATGTAAGCGAATACTATGAAGAAATGGTTTACACAAAGTCACTAAACATCAAAAAAGCAATTTTCTACAATATGACGAAAAACATTATTATTAGCTGTCTACTCAATGCGCAGTTCAATGGAACTCCTCGAAAAATGTTTTTAATTCCTTTACTTGTTACTGACGCCATTTACCCCATCAAGGAGCTAAGCCATTCACCAGCATTGTCCTGGACAATCCTTTTCAGTTGCTATTCACCCTTTCATGTCTGCTTTCATTTCCAGACATAGTGTGTTCTCCGACCTCCCTCTTCTCCATTTCCCTTCTGGATTCCAAGTTAGAACTTGTTTCGTCTTGCAGCTTATTGATTTCCCCAATGTATTTTCTATCCATTTTTAACGTCTTTTCCTGATTTCCTCTTCATCTGGAAGCTGGTTTGTCCTCTCTAACAGTAGGCTGTTGCTCATGGTATCTGGCCAACGACGGACACTCAGTATTTCGCGTAGACAATTGTTTATAAATACTTGTAATTTTTGATGATGGTTGTTGTAACGGAAAGAAAACGATGAAAATCCCTCCTCAGCATTTTGTTGGACAATACTGTCATTTATTTGTTTCTTCGCCCTGTCGTGTACTTTAACCTTTGTTCAGATCTCGTTTAACCACACCTTCTGTTCCTTAGTCTTCCTCATCTGCGCTTTTATCATGTGATTTCGGTTAAAGACTTATGTTTTGTTACCTAAATTTCTTTTGCATGTTGACAATAAGGTCGTGTTTCACTAAGTTCAATTTCACGGCGTGGTTCAGTGTGTGACTGTTAACCTTTTGACTATCTGCTTGGGAGGATTGCAGGAATCCCCGCAGATAGATATTTGATCCCATCTTGTTGGGAATGTTTTTATTGATACTCAAGTATCAAACCCTTTCGTATTAACTGTTTCTTTCACTGTTTAGCGCGCTACATTGCATTAGAGAAACTTCTGACTGTATAGCACAGGCTGTACTGTCTGAGGTATTTTGTATATTTGATATAATTTGTACTATTTCTTAAATTAGACCCTTTTAAATCGAGCACGGAGTTTGTGTTTTGATATAAATTAATACGAGTATCTCAAAAACGCTTGTTGCGCTATACAGAAGAACGTAGTCTGGCCTATTCAAACAAGTTTTGGTTCGTCAGTCCAGCGTTCAAACCGAATACTGGTAGTTTCGTCATTATCTTTGTAGTAGTTCTCAAAGTTTCGACTCCATACAGTAGAACTATATTGACGTTCGTATTGAAGATTATGACTTTAATATTGGTTGACAGTTGTTTTGAGTTCCATATGTTCTTCAATTGAGGCTCTTTCTTTGCCAATCCTTGCCTTTACGTGTGCATCGGGTCCTCCTTCATCAGGCACGTGCTTGCTCCCACCTCCATCAGAGTTTATCTACCAAGTGTGATTTGGTTTGTGTTCGCTACGTTGTATTTGAGGATATTGCTTTTCCCCTTGTGTATGTTGAGGCCTACTGATGCAGAGACTGCTGCTAGACTAGTTTTCTTTATCTGCATTTGTTGATGTGTATGGGATAGGAGGGTTAGGTCATCTGTGAAGTCTAAATCATCTGCTTGCATCCAACTTGTGCATTGTATTCCGTGCTTCCCGTCAGATGTTGAAGTCTTCATAATCCAGTCGACCACCAGAAGAAAAAGGAAGGGGGAAGAAAAGGCGGTTTTGTCTGACTCCTCTCTCAACTTGTAATCCATTCTTCATCTGTCCTCTATACACGACTTTGCAATGTGGTCTGTCGTATGAATTCTGTATGATGATGACGATTTTCTCGAGCACACCATAGTGTTGAAGAAATTTCAACAATCTTCTCCCATCAACACTACCAAACGCATTTTCACAGTCGTTGGCGTTGATATATAACGACGTGTTCTCCTCAACCGATTATTAAACGATGATCCGTTGTGTCGCGATTCAGTCCGGGTACTACCGATCCTTATGGAATCCGCTTTATAGATTTCGATGTTAGACGTCTACAAAATCTTTCGTCCGGTTCACCAAAGACTTGAAAATGTACTCGGTACCGATAGCTGCGTGAGGCCTCCGTTTTCAGTTCTCGCATTTGCTAAGATCTACTTTCTTTGCTATCTGGGTGAGGTGTCCTTCTTTCCAGTCTGTCAGTAGCACCTGTTCTTACACACAAATCTTCCTGAACAGAACGTGAATCATGTACTCAGTTGTTTCTATGTCTGACTCCAGTGCTTCAGCTAGCATGTTGTCAGGTCCTACTGTTTCCCACCCTCCATTTGTCTGATGAACAACCTGATTTCTTCGATTATTGGTTGAGTGACAGCGATAAGAATGGCTGCTTGTGCTGCTTCCACTTCCGGTGGGTTCCCCAGGTCTGATCCATTCAAGAGTTCATCAAAGCGTTTTACTCACCTGTTGCGTTGTTTTTGCATCTCAGTGATTGTCTTGCCTTCTTAGCTCGTGACTGGTTCCGCTGGCTTACCATATTTCCCTAACAGTTTCTACGTTGTTAAATAGAGCTATCTCATTTTCCCTCTCTTGCGGCTTTTTATGATGTCGTTGCCAGCTCTTATGCTTATCTTCCCTAATGCTTCTCTTTAATTGCTGATTCGCTTCTGTGTATTCGGCCTATGCCTTGATATTCTCTACTCGTGTTCGACAGTTGTTAATTGCTGTCTTCTTGCTCTTCCTCTTTTGAATCTTGCTGAGGGTTTCGATCGAGATCCTTTTGTTATTATGACGCTTCTTGAGGCCCAGCAACCTCTGTGACATTGAGGTTAGTGCTTAACAGTTGTCCTCCATAGCAGTTTCTTCTTCCAGGAGATCCTGTAAGGTTTTCAACCTGTTGTTGAAAAATATTTTGAGATATTTTGTTTCCACGATCACTTAACCTCAATTTCAACATTTATTTTATCATGCTGAGCTATCCGTTTCCCTATCTATCTTTTAATAAATACTTATGCCATTAACAATTAAAAGATTATTAAATTTTCCTTGTTTTTAAAGGAATTTTTTAATAACTTTGTTTATCTAACCTCACTGTCAACATGCCAAACAG